AAGAGACAGGTAGGGAGAGAGAGTGACGGTCAGACAGGTAGGGAGAGAAAGACAGACAGGTAGGGAGCAACGGCAGGCGGACGACCAACTCAGGTATAGAGGTGCTCAGACAGGTGTCTCACCCAACAGCAGCAGTCTGTGAGTGGCCTTATATGCTAGCCTCTCTTTCTGTAGCTGCCTCTCAATCTTCTTGTTGGCCTCTCTTTTTGCTTTTTCATCCAGTCGTTCTTCATCCGTCTTCCCTCCCAGACAGCCCATCTCACCTGTAAAATCACACACCAGTCAATGAGCGACTGAAGCCAGGTTAGTTTTACATAGATTCATTTAGATTTTTACATCATGTTAAGGTGTTTTTCAAGTTAATACTAGGTTTAGTTTAGGTTTTATTTAAGTGTACTCTAAGGTTAAATCACATCGAGCTGAGCCTAAAGTTCAGTGTAGATTTGGTTTAAGATTATTTTTATGATACTAGATTTTATTAGGGTAGAATAGGGTAGAACTTTATTGATCCCACAGTGGGGAAATTTCAGTGTTCCAGCAGCAGTAAGGGACAAAAACAACAGAGAGCAAGAAACAAGACACCATAAGAACAGATACCACACATTAAGATGCAATTAACATTTGGTTTATTTTAGGTTCATAAATGATTAGCTTCAGTTTTCTTTTGGTTTTTCTGATCAGTGCAGCAGTGACGTTTGTTATTGATCCTTTATCTTCATTGTGAGGTCACAGCTGTGACTGCATCACTGCTCACACCTGACAGAGGTGGAAATGAAGAGGGAAAATGGCTCCAGGACATGATCCAATAACAAAAAGAAGCCTTTCACTTTTCTAAACTGATTCTACTGATTTTTTTTTTTTTTTTACATTTTTTAATCTTTTTGTATTTAACAGCTTTCCATGTGCTGTTTTCATTCTTCTGTGACTTAAAATAACTTTTTAGCACAGATTGTAACACGCTGTACAACCACACCTGTGCTGCGCAAGAAAGTCGGCATGAGAAAAAGAAAAGATTAAAAAAAGAAAACTGGCAAAGAAAGAAACGCCCGAGCTGATCCCCAGAGGAAATCCACAGGTTCAAGCTGCACAACAGTTTCAGAAACCAGGTTAAAAACTCAAATAAATGAGACTGTCCAGTCACAGTTCATACATGCTCACCATAAACCAAAACAAAGTTTCATAAATTTTTTACACACAAACATTTTGCTGATGATTTTTTTACTTTAAAATTTACTTGTAAACCAGTATTTTTACTGCAGTATTTCTACTGTTACTGAGGATCAGAAAACGTCTGCCAAACCATGAAACCAGTTTCCTAATCTGCTGCTGAATCCAGTAAATCCATTATCTACGCAGCTGGTCCCAGTTCAGTTGTGGTTGTACTGACCTGCAGCTGTCCACGATCACCAAGCCGTCGAGTGTCAGTGGGTCCGGGTCAGTTCATCGGTCTGTCCATCAAAGTCCACAAAGAAAAACCAGGAACAGCGGCTCCTCAGACAATCAGCCTCCAGGCCAGGTCCAGTCCAAGTCCAGTGCAGAGGGTCAAAGCCAGGTCTGATGGAGGCTTTCGGATGTTTTGTCCGCAGTGAGCAGAGGAACACCTGTGCTGCTCCCTCCTCCTTCCTGTCTCTAACAGCACCTCATTAGCTGTTTCTCTCTGTTTCTCTTCAGGGGACTCACTGTTTTTCCTCTTGTGTCACTTTGCTGCCTGACAACCAACAGCTGCATCCACAACACAACCGCTGCTGCTCCCGGTTCCAGTCCGGACTGTGCTGGACCAGAACTGAAATCGAAATCAGACTGGAAGCTCACTAGATCCACTACTTGGTTTCAAGACTTGTTTACTTTAAATGTGCTCATTTATGTTGTCAAGCCTCTGTCCTGTTTCCTGTATTTCTAAAATACATGCAGATTATATTTAAAGTGAAGATGTAAAAAAAGAATAAGTTGACAAACATTTAGTTACAGTTGTTAGACTTGCATGGGAAACTACTGTATTTTTATGAGCTGGTAATCTCTTATTTTAGAGTGTTGGCTTCATTTCTTGTTAGTTGATGTTGACAGTTGTATCAGATTTTTTTTTTCACCTTTATCTGTTCAGGGCAGATTCTCTGAAAGGCCTTCTCTCTTTTTCAGGGACAACCTGTTCACATTCACACCTGGAAGCTGCCCAGTCCAACCACACACTGATTTGTTGCCATTGAGCAGCTCCACTGGAGCAGTTGGAATTAAGCTCAAGTTGTTCTAAGTCCTCACAGACATGCTAATATCCCACCCAGACTGGATGCTGCCGGTCCATGGATAGAACCCGTGCTTTCCCAACCTTAGGCCATCGTGTTGTAAGATGTTGCAGGTGTGAAGGGGATTTGTGTGTGTTACTCTGTTATGTATTCATGTTTGATATTTTGTTTTTTTACCAACCCCAGCAAAACTGAGATGTGTATTTTCCTCATCTTAACTGAATTTTTTTTACATTAAGCTTCCATAATGGTGCTGGTTTGTTCTGTTAATGTGGTTTCTGCCTGCAGCAGCTGTGGGTGTCTTTTAAACATCTGTTGGTGCTGATCTGTCGCCACCTTGTGACTCTTTCAAGTCACTGCACTGTCAGATCTGTGACCAAGTGAAGCAGCTGGAAGGTGGAGTTCAAACTGTTTTGTGACATTACAAAGAAAACTGAATTCACTGACTTTGTCCACTTTGATTTTATTTAATTGGGGGTTTTTTGCCCTAAAAGAAAAAACAGGAAAACAAAAATCATTACATTGGAGTGGAGTTTGATAAGTGACAGTGATCCTGACCAACAGTGTTCATGTTGACAGGTGTGTTTTTACGCTGCTTCTGAATGTGATCAGTATTTTGTATCTCAAACAGGCACAGACTCAAACCGACTGAATCAGGATCACAAATCTGAGCTGAAACATTTTCACATAATCTGAACAGCATGTTTCTTCTGCCTGGGGGAGTTCCCTTCTTGTCCTCCCTCACTGGCTGGATGGATTCCCTGATACTGCATTCTCCAGAGACTTCAACCTGAGCAGAGGTGACAAAGTACACTCATTCATTACTCAAGTAGAATTACAGATACCTGTGTAAAGAAAAAGGCTAGTAGTACTACTGATTCAAACTCTACTTGAGTAAAAGTGAAAAAGTACAGGCTCTGAAGTATAACAGTAAAACATAATGCTGTGAAGGACATTTCTACAGCTGTTTCTGTGCAAACCTATAGTTCCAAGACTATTAAACCATTGTAACTTCAAATAAAATAAAATCAAAAGCGACTGAAGCCAGGTCAAATAAAAAGTCAAAAATAATTAGCACTAACTAACAAGAACACATTTCGGGTGTAATTAAGCCTGAACAGATAAGGCCGGTCATTTCCTATGCCCCTACTCACAGTTAATGTCTCTCAGTTTCCAGCCTGGATTAGCTCATTGATCTATGCCATAGACCTCTGTTCTTCATAAATGATTAAAAACATCAGTGAAGCGCACCGCTGCACTGGGTGAGGTGTTTCTTCATGACCAAACACCAGACCAGTATAAACACAGTGCCCCAAAAGCTTCAAACAACCAAAACTTTTTACAGCATCTGAAGTGAAGCAAGACTCAGCTGTGCATGTGTTAGACCTCTGTGAAAGCATAAGGAAATAGCAGACTGTAAACAAAGCAGAGCGCCTGTAATAAAGGAACATGTCACCAAGTGCAGCGGTGTGCACATTTAGTCAAGTCAAGATTTTTATTTGCCATTTATGCATAAACAGACAGTCTAGGCATATAGGAATTCTTGTGCAGCTCTCGTTTGGAGTCAAGTAAGGAGCCAAAAGCCAGAAAGAACATTTAGTCTTAAAATAAAAAGTTACATAAAGGCAACAAAGCATTAAAGTCGCAATACACAAAAATAGGGTAATAGTAGTAGAACCGCATTTCATTCATCACTGATTGAGGAAAATAAGAACAACCCCAGGTTTCTTTTCAGCACTGTAGCCAGGCTGACAAAGAGCCACAGTGATGTTGAGCTTAACATTCCCTTAGATCTCAGCAGCAATGACTTCATGAGCTTCTTTACAAATAAAATCACAACTATTAGAGAAAAAATTGGTCGGACCACTCCCACAGCTCTCGCAGATGTGCCATCTACTACAATGGCTTTAGAAACATCTGTAAGACCTCATTTATACTTGG